GGCGGCCACGCCGATTGAACGTATTCACTGTGCGCGTATGAGCGTAGAATCGCGCAAAAAGCATTTGGCCTCGTTTTCACGCTCTGCGTTTTGCGTTTTCACGAAGTGGCGAATCCGCGCGCTGTGTGTGGCGAATCCGTTGAGGTCTGCATTTTGCGTTTTCACGAAGCGGCGAATCCGTTTCGTAATTTACAGCTCTTAAACTACAGATCCAATTGCAGAAATATGTATCTGGTCATGTCATTTGGCTAATAAGCTGTCGTACCAGTGAAAATTCTTTAGAAATTATGATTAAAAGTGGGGAGAAATGACCCTTTCAAAAAGTGACCAACTTCAAAACCGATTTTCGCAAAACGCAGTGTTCGCGCTGTGTGGGTGGATTCGCCACTTCGTGAAAACGCCGACGATGTATACCCGACGACAGTGGCGTAGCCAGGATTTTTTCAGTGGGGGGGTAGGGGGGGAGGGGCGATGGGGGGCTGGAACATTTCATTGGGGGGGGGGGGGCGTCATGTAGGGGTGTCAATTGCTTCTCAAAAGTGGGGGGGGGGGGGCATACCTTGATCAGAACTGATGCGAGCGCGAAGCGGGAAGCCCTTACGGCGTAGGGGTTCGGGGCCCGCTTAAGGGCCCCGAAAAAAAATGGATTCTCTGTTTGACTTAAACAGTTGTTTTGAGTTACTAAAGTTTGAGTTATTGAGATTTCACTGTATGACTATGACCAAACAGGCAAACAATCCTATTGCGACTCACTTTCACGTCTCTATCCTATATTCATTTAGCAATCATGACATCACCTCCATCATGTCCATTTTCTATCTATAACACATCCCAGTTTACCCACATGCCAAGTTTGAACAATATCGGGCTTAGATTGTAGTTATCATGGCGTCTCTATTTGGGAAACAAGTTTACTATGGGATCGGGATTCAAGAAGTGCTGTGCTGAATAAAACACATACAAATTGTACGATCCTTGGGGGGAGGGGACCCCAAAAAAATAAAAGAAAGAAAATGGTAAGAACCTTTCATCTGTAAAAGATAGGAAACCATAACAAACTTTCATCTGTAACTAAATGTATGTGGAAAGCCCTGTTGTGTATGGACAAAGCATAAGTTGTATTGGACCAGTAGGAAACATATCTGTATTGTAAGAGTAAATGATTTAGCTCTGGGAGTACAATGTGTCTGTCCACAAATATATTCATGGTATTACTATTTCCGACCCTGCCTTAGCTGAAGCTACAAATTGAATTTTGGTTTCATGGTACTTTGGAAAGTTCCAGTACTTTCTCTCTCTCTTGTTAAAGTGATAGTTTTGAGTGCCAACATATTAGAGAATAATATGGTAAAAAAACTTTAACATTACATACGGAGCTCTGGTCATACGACTTGTCCAAAATTTAGGACTGGTTTAGGCGATACAAAAACGAGAGCCGTTTCGGCTAACAGCTTCAAACGGATGACATGGCAATTTTGCAGGGTTAAAAAGTACCACAATTTAAAGTACTCTTGTCAGGTTTACATCAGTAAATGTAAACTTGTGACTATTGTCTTTTGAAATGCAGATTCCATTCATGAAGAATGAAGATTACAAGGCAGGGGGCCTAGGACGAGGCAAACCAAAGGAAATTGAGTAGCCTTCTGCTAAGGCCTGTGCAATTAAACATCTGATAACAAAATTGATAACAAAATTGTATTACATTAAAGACCCCCCAAAAAATAAAAATTATCTGAGTCAACTTGCGTCCCTCGGCCTGAGAAGTTTCTCGCTTTTTGTAGGATTTGACCTGTTCTTAAAAGAGCCACCTCCAGCAACAATCATATCAATGTCCTCCAGATGTTTCTCTTGGGACCCAATAGTAGTACCCAGGGCCCAACAACAATTGAAACCACCTTCAACTCCATACTTCCCAACCCCTATAAAGAAATAAAGAGGACTGAATAAATAAAGGGACTTAGTACTCAACCAGAAAACAAACATAACACCTGTTGCTGATTCGTTTACATTTTCACAAATTTATTGATCATTTCATTTTCTTTTTAGTGAGAATGCCTTGCGCGTTGTTTGGCAAACTCACTAAAGACAAATTAGAAGTTGTTTTGAATGAACTTGTACAGGAGTGCGGGAATGACAATGAAGTAAGTATGGCCAACAAAATAACAAAACGTAGTTTTGCTTCCGGTTACCCTAACTACCCATCTTGACAAGTACCCTACTTTTTAATCTTTTATTTATTTATTTTTTTGTGGGGGGGGGGGGGGGAAATGAGAAACATACTCCCAAAACATTAATCAAATTACTTATTTTCCTTGACTACACGCAGACACTTCCATCTTTATGCCCACATTATTCATTGCCTTTTGCACACATGATTCTTTGCACTAATTGGCTTCGATTTTACCCTGGTTTATCTCCTTAATGCTTGAGTTGAATCCAGCAAATTAATCCTCGAACTTTATTATCACGTTTGGGGTGGCGATACCAGAGACTATGTGTACAAAATAGTAATACATAATACAGTAACGAAAATAAAATACAAATCAGTTAAGGCAAAAAAAAAAATATTTCTGCTTCCGGTTACCCGACCGACCCTATTTTTTGGCTGCGACCCTAAAAATTTTATCGGCAAGTCAAAAAAAAGTAATGAATATAAAATAAATTTTAAAAAAAATCCTTTTCTCTTTTCTATCTTTACAAAACACCTTTCAAAAACCCTTTTGCGAACATTTGCCATTTTTAAAAAGAAACCTCCATTGTTTTTACAATTTCGCTTCGCGATACATAGTTCGCACTTGATGTTGCGGCGACGATAAACACATGCGTAATGTTAGCTCAGTGCAGCATGACTGGGTTAGTTGAGCCATGGAGGAATGGTTGAGCAAAACGCTGACCATACGGCTCTAAAAAAATGACACTACAACTCGAGTACGACAGTCATAAATAAATGTTAGTTCTAAAATAGTAGATACTCTCATTTTCCTACTTAAAAACATTAAACCAGTGTTGAGACGGAACAGCTTATTTGACATGTTTGAATAGGGGGAAAGATTCCCATCTCTGGCCATCACCAATTTGTCCCTTCAGTGACCGCCTTCAGAAAGCATGGAAAGTGATATGTCATAAAAAAATCCGTGAAAATATTGAAGTATACTGATCCAGAAAACACATCAGACTGTACCAGTCTCATGTGCATAGGTTGACAAATGATGGCCTGATATGGGAATCTTTCCGAATAGAGAAATGGTGGTCACATCCTTAAAAAAACTGACAATATCTACGAACACTTACTTTACAACTTATACCATGGACTTGGAGGAACGATCCACACCAACTGCGGCGATCTCCGAAAGCTAATGGTTGACGCAGGGTACGGGTGTAAGCATGCACAGCAGTACAGTCAGCATACGTGTATGATGCATGTGCTAGCTAGCTAGGCATAAAAAGTGCGACTGGTGTGAGCGCGCGCGTGCATATCGTCGCAGGTTTCACGAAGTGACGTTTTACTCAAAAGTCTGACTTTTTGTGAAAACGGGTTTAGTCACTATTTGGACTGGAAATACATTTATCTCTCCTTCTACCAAGTCTCAATCCTTAAATCTGTTTAGTTTTGCATATAAGTTTTTATATAATCTAAAAGAACTGAGTTTTTTTCGTTTTTACGAAGTGGCGGTTCAAAAGATGTCACTTCATGAAAACTAATGTGACAGGTTTTCAAAAAGTGACGTGACAAGCTCGATCTCAGGTGCGCTTGTGTGGTATACTATGCTTCGCTTTCAACAATGAGTACGATGTTGTTCTGTTTACGCGACGGACAAAATGGCAGCCTTCATAACAGGGTTCCACAGATTGCCGTGGTACGTATTGTTTATGGATTTAAGATAGTTGCCTTTTGATTTAACAGCTTGGTAAAACAACAACAGTTTCACATGTTTAGTCCGTATTGTATGCAGTTAATCATTCCGCAATGACCATTGCCCAATGTCAGGATCTTGCTCACGAATCACGGGCATGACGGGGTCTTTTCTTTTCGCCAGCGCCAAACAGCATTCGTCTCTAGGCCTTAATAAAATATAATGAGATAGGCCTACTACTTTACTTATAATTAGCAAATAGTAATACCGGTATTTTAATATATGATAAGCCCAATAGAAAAATAGTGCCAATCCACTGAGGGGATTGGCACTAATTATACAGCTAATAGGCCTACATGATGATCTAACGTTACTATTTGCTTGTGTTTTCTTTTTACTATACAGATTTTTATCAGTTGTGCATTGTCAGGATGAATAAAAAGGGAACCAAGACACGGTAGGTTTTCATGATGCCACTGAATTTATTTCCTTTTGATATTTCAATTACATTATGATTATGCAGGATAAAAGGACAAAGACAAGATTGATAGTAGACCCGTGAGTTTCGCTGTATACACCGCCACGCATACATCTCATTGAACAGCTTTCGATCGGCCAACATCGGCGGGAATAGAATTTCTGTTTTGAGTCCCGAAATTTAACTAACACTTTTATGACCAGTACTTACACACGTCAAATAAGCCAATATTTAGTGCAAATGGTAATAATATTTTGCACTTCTTGTGTTTGTCAAGTTGCAAAGTCAACAATCTGACAATTAATTAGTAATGATTTATTATTGCTTGCCTTAGCTACTGCGACCGTTGACGTCAAAATTGCAAAAGAAGAGTACAGCACCCCGGCCCAGTTGTTGGTTCTGGACTTGCCTACATTAGGGGGGGGGGGTTGTCTGAAACATCTGTTGCATATTAACCAGAACAATTCCTCACAACTATGAAACAACTTTTGTGGTCTTTGTAAGGGAATTATAATTTGTAAGAAAGATGTAAGTTTGTCTGAGGAAGCATCATCAGGTGAATGCTGGATTTGATACTATACTTATACTGTTGATATAACACAATACTAGTACTATAATAGTTTTTTTCATGCATCGTTACCTATTTCAGTTTGGATGTGCTTGTGCAATGGGATCATGACTCCACCAAAAATGCTGTCGACTTAAGTGACTTGTCATGTGATGGTCATCTGGGAGTATCATCAAGGGTTGTCATGATGTGGGAGGGAACACCTTGGTCTGGAAAAGTTCTAGATATTGATGAAGATGAACTTTTTGATGCAGATGACGAAACTCCCTTGGCTTTTTACAAATCAGGTATAACTAATAATTTTTAAGAATTTATACCTTTTACCTTGATACTTTTATTATTAATACAAAGAAACAAAAATTAAAAAAGATAAAAGGCTGAATGTAAGATTTAAAATTTTTCTTCTATTCTACGTAATTAATTTGTAGGTAAAGTTGGATGTGCAAGTTCAAAGGCAGCACCTAATTCACAGATGGAAAATGACATATCAATTATCCGTTGTGCTGCAACTACGGCTCAAGTGACACCGGCCAGTGGGACTCCAACGGCATGTAGTCCACAGATTGCATCTACGCCTGAAGGTGCGCTTAGTTCTTTGACACCATGCAGCCTGAAGACGGCATGCAGTCCTATGACTGCGCTAAGTTCCCAGACTGCAGCTGTGCCTCCAGTGCCAATGGCCAGTGGCACCCCAACTGCATTTAGTTCGCAGAATGCAACTGTGCCTCAAGTGCCACTGGCCAGTAGCACGTCTACTGCATGTAGTCCGCAAAATGCAGCGGTGCCTCCAGTGACATTTAGTTCTTCAACACCATGCAGCCTGAAGTCAGCATGCAGTCCTAGGTCTGTACTAAGTTCCGAGATTGCATCACTTCCTCACACTAGTTCATGGTTACTAATGTGTCCACCTTTGCGCCCCCACTCAGTTTCTCGTCTCCGGCCAGAAGCTTCATTCACTGCACCAATGCTTAGTCAACAGCCAATGTCTTGCGACAATTTCTTTTGTGAAAAAGTAGTCTTTTCGACATGCACTACGTGTCTGTGTTTGTTATGCTATGATCATTTTTTGCTGAGTGATGTCTGTAGTTCACACAATGTTTTCTTCAATATGTACAGGTTGATGCCGATTTGTCTAACCTTGATTTAGCAAGTCTACCCATAGGTAGTTCTAGAAACATTGAAGTTAACAATGCCAGAATGCCAGAATCTAGCCTGGTAAGTTGTTCAAGTGGGAATATGTTTCCTGAAGAAGAAAGTGCTAACACAGACAATGTAAGTAATGTTACAGATATACATTTGCCAACAAGATCTGTAAGTGCATTTCCTGATCATGGTACACAGAAGTTATCAGATTGTGCCCCAGTTGGTAATACAGGTAAGTCAAATGAAGGACAATCTCAAACACCATCTACCAGTGTCAACTTGAATAAAGGAACTCATTTCCCAGTGACTTTCCATTCTCTTCCAAAACAACAAAACCTAACAAAAGCAAAAACTTTCTGGTGAAATATAAAAGGAATCGTGGTGAAAGTTACCGTTCAGAAAAAAAGTGATTGTGAAGTGTCTGCAAGGAGGGAAAGTAATATTGCCAGCACTTGTAAATTTTGTCCAATTCGAAAATTGGATTGCCATAAGATTTCAGATGAAGACTGCAAACATATTCGAAACACTTACTTTGATCTTGGTAGCCTGCAGACGCAAAGAGAATGGCTTAGTCGCCATATAGAGGCCAGGGAGGGAGTTACAAAATGCTCTTACTTTCTGCCCTATTCTGATCGAAATGTTGGGAAAAAATGGTATGCAAATCTAAGTTTTTAACTACTTTGGGTATATCTGAACGCCAGGTTCGCACTGTGATTCAAAAACGAAAGTCAGAGGGAGTACTTGAAGGTGAAACAAGAGGTAAGAGGCAACGAAAAGAACACGATCAAGCTATCACAGATGAGGTAACTCAACATATTAATCTTTTCTCACGTATGGAGTCCCACTACTGCAGATCAAACAGCAAGTGCCATTACCTTTCTTCAGATCTGAATATACCAACCATGTACAGAATGTACCAAGAAACTCATCCAGAAGGTGCTTCCCTCTCCTTCTATAAGACAGTTTTCAAGTATCTAAACTTGAAATTCCATCATCCGAAAAAAGACCTCTGTGGTCTTTGTGACTCCTATCGGCATGGTGATTCTCAACAGAAAGGCAAGCTTGAGGAAGCTTATACAAGGCACACAAAGGAAAAAGAAAATGTGCGAGAGCTGAAGACAAAGGCTAAAGAAAGAGCATCAAAAACAAAAGACTACTGTGCTGCCGATTTCGACTTGCAGCAGGTCATTTATGTACCTCAATCTTGTAGATCAGAGCTATTCTACAAGAGGCGTTTGGCATGTTATAACTTTACGGTGTACGATCTAGCAAGTAGAGATGGGTATTGTTTTTTGGCTCATGAAGGCCAAACAAGAAGAGGATCTTGTGAAATTGCCTCCAATTTGAATGCATTCTTGCAGAAAATGGACAATCTTGGTTTCGAAGAAATGGGTTTGTTTTCAGACGGATGCTGTGGTCAAAACAAAAACTCAATAATTCCTACAACGATGCTTGAGTTTGTTCAGTAGTCTAAGTCACTCAGATCAATAACACTACATTTCTTCGACGCAGGTCATGGCCAGAGTGAAGGAGATTCCATGCACAGTGTCATTGAGAAGGCTCTTATAAGCAGACTGGGGATATTGGTGTACCTGCTCAACTTGTTCCTATTTGCCAAATGGCCAGAAAGAATCCCACACCATAAAAAGTCATACATGTCCAAGCCAAAGACATAACTGACTGGAAGACATTCAGTCAGAGGAAAGGTGTGTTGAAGGTACGTACATCGGAAGAAGGAATCAAAGTTGAGAGGCCAAAGTTCATGCAGCTTAATGTTGAAAAAGCTGATTCTGATATCATCAGATTTACATTTTCCCATGCAGACCACCAGTTTGCTACTCTGAACATAAGCAATGCACGCAGAAGTGTGGAAGATGAAACAATGACCCCGCAGCTTCTCTATTCATCTGGGCCGCCTAAAATATCACATGGCAAGTATGACGATCTCAAGAGTCTCTTTACAGGTAACACGCCAGTAATTTCTCATGCATTTTATCTCCAGCTTCACCACGGAAAGCTCTTTCATTTCCTATGATGCTCATTCAGCATCAATTATTTTCTGCATTCTAATGGAAAGTGTTCATGCTTGTCTGAAGACAAGGTAACCTCATCTTTATAACTCAGCTGCCAATAAAATGTGTTTTTTTCTTGCTCAGAAGGCCAGTCATAACGAAAGAATGTTTTTGCTGTTCAACATGTAAGTCTGTCTGAAGAAAACATTTCAGAAACAGTTAGCCGCTGTATTACACACACATAGCAACTTTGTGCTTAATTTTAATCAGAGAAGTTCTGCAGGAAGTATATAAGCTGTTCGATGGATATTTGAATATTTTGGCTGTTCACCAGGTAAGTCTGAAGAAAAAATTGAAAGAATATTCTGTAGCTGTTGTATTACACATAGCATTATTGTGCCAAGTTTTAATCAGAGATGTTCAGCAGGAAGCTGTTCGATGGCTATTGAATTGTTACACATGAAAGCCAAACTGAGTTAAGCTTTTCCGAAGAAGTAAGCAATCTCCTGTAAAAGGGTGAATTCGTTTTACCAAAGATTTTACACAATGAAACATAAGAAATTGTTACTATTATGTTGCAAGATGTTAGCTGTTGGTTAGCGTTTTAAAAATTGTAGATATTTATGAAAATGATTTATTGTTGGCATTATTTTAGCAAACCGGGTGTATGTGAAGCAGGATTTTCTGGAAGTATTGGCTATTTTATTGTTCGCAGATTCAGCCATTGTTGAGATGACATGAGATGGATGAGAGTACTTTATTCATTTGCGTAATCATTTCGAATGGGTTGTGACAACTGATCACATGGCAACTATTTAGTTATTTGGAAACAAGGTTGTTAATGTTGACATCATACCTTAGCCTAAGCAGTTTGTACTCATTTAATGATTTTACGATTTGTACAGATTACAGAAAATAATTTATCAAAGTGGTTGACAGGGGAAAACAAGAATCAAATGTGTTTATTTATTAATTTGTGTAATCATTTCGAATGGGTTGTGACAACTGATCACAGGGCAACTATTTAGTTATTTGGAAACAAGGTTGTTAATGTTGACATTATACCTTAGCCTAAGCAATTTGTACTCATTTAATGATTTTACGATTTGTACAGATTACAGAAAAAAATTTATCAAAGTGGTTAACAGGGGAAAACAAGAATCAAATGTGCATATACCATGATTGCGTCAACTGAACCAGTGTCATATGGCTTTTAAAATGTATATAATAACTCGTATTTTCAAGATACATTACTCATCTGATTTTGTTTCACTTTTAACCATCCTAATGTAGAGAATCCTAGGGGACGGGGTGAGGTTGGGTGATGAGGTAGTACTACTACTAGTGTGGGTTGTATGACTGACTGGTGAAGAGCTCTGGGTCTGGCTAAATGGGTGATTGGGAGGGCAACACGGGCACGCAGGTCCTAGTGAACAGGTGACGCTTTGAAGGTTAGTTTCCTTGCCTCAGGCTCAATGACTGCCATTTATTCCTGCCAACCTGCCAGCCCAGCTGCCAATTCTCACTGTATGAGAATTCGGCAGTGAGGTGAAAATACAAAGAATACAAATTACCAAAAAGCACGCACATGTCAATAAACGTGTACATGTAGATCTATTTCCCCAAATTAAATAAACAATCTTCGCATGAAATAAGAATTACCTTAGGCAATGCCGAACATAAAGGAGCAGGCTCACATTTTACACATGCTGGCCAGGCACATTCATACACACTATCAACCACTTTCATACACACCGGTCCTCAATGAACAGGAAGAGCCATTATTTGTGGGTTAATATTCCCTAAATGTAAACCTTAGATAATCATAGTACATGTACTGGAATCCGACAATGCGCAATAAGACCCATGTTAAATTATACATGACCATAAATACGTACGTAACGTTATACATGTACACAATTACATGGAAATATCACGTGTGCGCGCACCGTGCTGTCACATTTTGCACGTGAACGCGTGTATGCCTATACTACACGCACAATGTTCGCTAAACTCTCCACAACGAGCTCACACTTTGGAGCCCAAAACCTACATTTATATCTTATCAAAACTTTACTTTAATGCCTCCAGTATTATCTATGAACACTAGCGGACACATCCTAATGCAATATTGGGTAGCGTGCAGTTTGCAAACAAATGATATTTCAATTAAAAAACGAGCTTCAAAAGTTGACAACGTACCTGTATGAGAATTCGGCAGTGAGGTGCCGGTCAAGGGTTATGCAAGGCACAGGTCACGTACATAATAAGGGGCGTGGCTTAACTACATGTAAACACTACGTGCATATCATACGCACACTCTACACTAAATACCAGGTCTTCAAATTGAATTCATTTGCATTTCTGATTATAATGTCAACCCACCAATGTGATCTGCTAAAGTACAAGTAAAACCTGCAATAACATGAAATAATGTTTTTTTTTAACAAACATTCACTTAAAAAGGTGAAGCAAAACAAGAACAATTTTATTTTTGTCGAAAATGCCTTTGTCAAGAAAATGTTTACTCAATAGGGTAGGTTTATCAATTAAACATCTGAAGACCTCGTCGTACGTAATAATTTATTTGATACTTTTATTTAACAACTCAAATGAATTGATATTTAAAGGCAGGATATACTTTTGGTAATTGTCAAAGACCATTTTCTCCCTTGGTGTATCCTTCATGCCTGAAACCTTTCTCAGGTTCAAATTTTGGGGTGAAAAATTACCTCTTTCTCTAAAACTATGTTACTTCAAAGGGGGCCTTTTCTTACAATGTTTTTTAATATCAACAGCTCTCCAGTGCTCTTTACCAAGTAAGTTGCCATGATCATTAACTTGTGGAGTAGTTACCAAAAGTACACCCTGCCTTTAAAAGAAATTGTAACTGAATGAATTTTGTTTTAACACTGCTGATGAAATATAGATTTTAAACAATTTTTATTATTAAAATCTGCTGATAAAAAAAACACTGATAATCTTCAAAATATTTTGCATTACATCATATCACTGCAATGTCTCACTAATGAATTGTAAAAAAAAAAAACTTAAACCATTTTGGAGCTTGTGATTTACATGAATTTGTTGTTACTGAAATTTAGAAAACGAAATTGTTAACAAATTCATTAAAAAAAGAGAGGTGAAAATACTTGCTTCGACTCTTCTTTGTTTTACACCCCCACCCCATGGTTGTTTCTGTGTATTATGTTTTAATGATACCCCGGCAGTTCACATGACTTATTTCTTCGCTATGGTTATTAATCCCCGCAATATCTTAATTATCATGCATGTTAAAGACAAGACATTTTAGGTACTTTTTTCCACTTAAAATGTGTGCATAATGGACAACCAAAACAGCTACAAGACAACTCGACCCAATATATCTCTTAGTTTTCACGAAGTGACTGTTTACATACGGGCAAGCCGGCGTCTGTTTTATGCGTACAAGACAAGTCGACCCACTGACATTTGGTTTTCACGAAGTGACACTTTGAATACGGGCAACGCGGTATGTGTGTGTAAACGTTTTCACGAAGTGACACTTTGCATACGGGCAACGCGTTGTGTGTGTGTTGGGGTTTTCACGAAGTGACACTTTGAATACGGGCAACGCGGTGTGTGTGTAAACGTTTTCACGAAGTGACTGTTTGGATACGGGCAACTTACACAATGCGCGCTGTGTGTTTGTAAGTTTTCACGAAGTGTCTTTGTGCTTTATGAACGACTTCTCATTAACTGTGAAATTGTTTTTATGAAGTATTTGGCTAGATTATTTAAGGTATCAACTTTCATGCACTCATTTTGGGGGAAATTCCCCATGACACAAATCCGTCAGAAAAGGATATTAACAGATCACCAACTTCAAATGCGATTATTTCTAAATCACGTTTTACCTCTGTGCGGTCGGTCGCGTCAGTTCGTGAAACCTGCGACGATATATGTGTGCAACAGGCCCCCTGGTGGCTGCTTCCTTTTGATTGGCTAAGGCATAATGCGCGGGGCCGGTCAGGTACGCATCTTTGCGTTGGTCGTAAACATCTAAAAATATAACCTAGACATGACGTCATCTATTTACGAAGGCTGTGGTGCATGGGGGACGCTATTAGTTTAAAACACCACAACACATGGTGTTTACGTGTTGACCTGGATTACCATCCAGGTCATAGGTCATCTTTGCCAGTTGATGTACTTATTTATTGATTGATTATGTTTTCTCATTTCTATTTTCAGACGATCGACTACATCTTCATGGTACTGTTGCAGGAGGCCTACGTTGTAATTGCTTCAGATTACCTAAAGGTCTCAAAGAGTACCGCGGAGGGAATTCTCCAAAACGTTTAGATATAACATATCCCAGGTTAAAGGGAATTAGATAAAACAATTTGCAGTCACAAAACGAAATGATCAAATTATAACAAAATATACTTGACTGTTAGGGAAAGACTGTTAGGGTCTAATTAATTAGCATGCTGTAAAATAGTGGCACCTGGTGTGCTAACCGTTTTTCAAGAAACTTGTACTCAGTTTCCGGCAAAGCTGGTCGGCCGACCAGCGTTGGAGTAGCTGGCCTTTTTATTTTAAATTGCTGCTAATTGTTTCCATAATTATTTAGTTATTCCGCGTTTTCTTTGCAATTGATTACACAACTGTGAAAGGTGTACAAAGTTGCTAAGTGCTAGACTGATTCTCTGACCCTACAATTCCCCAGTCTAGCTATAAATTCTCCATTTAATCTTGGGGTCATTAAGGAACCAGACTACCAGAACATTTAGTGGAGCAGCTGACTAGTTCAAGCCAAATAATGGACCAGCAAATAGTATTCAAGTTTCAGTTTTAAGTGTTGTATGATATAGGACAGTTGTCTTGTTTCTTTGTCATGAATTCAGGGTTTATTGAAATGTTAAAAGAGTTCAGCTACATGCAGTTCATGTTGTACGGTGTATTTTCATGGTTATTTTGTATTTATATTAATATTTTAAGTGCAAATACGTATTAGGTAAACTCAATTGCATCTCGTTTTTTTATAGAACAGGGATGAAATGTGTCGGCCTGATTTCAGGATTTTTTTTCAGGATTTTTCCTGATTTCACAATTGTTTAAAGAATCTAAATGTGCAGTTTCTGAAGTTTTTTTGTTACCTGTAAAGGTTTACGTAGAACAAAGGCAGGGGTATTTAAGGGAACCTTTCAGCAAATCCGAATTGAAAACATAACTGTGTGCTCTGTTGCACAGCAACCATCAAAGCCTCTTCTTGATTAAATTGTGGATTGAATTTGTCCAATCTCACCCCTGACACACATGTAATCTCTAAACGGCAAATGTAGGCGGCTGCGGTTTATCACTTTAGTTTGAACATCTCTAACTGAAAAAAAGTTTCACTCAAAAATGTTTCTTGTTAAAAAAAATGATTGAAATGATTGAAACATACCCTGTGTACCAATGACCCAATATGTCCTCTTCTTGATCATTTTGTGGTACATACATAATGTAATCTCTAACTGGCAAATGTATGGGCGGCTGCGTATTTTTCCTAAGTTTTGACTACATACAAGTTATCCCTAGTTTGAATATCCCTAACTGAACAGCCTTCACTAAAAAATTCTAACCTCATTCAGGGGCAAAACGGGACAGGACAATCACCTCTTCTGTACCAGATTGGCCAACACATTCAGAGAACACTGCCCATGCTAACGACACAAGAGCATTAACGACATCATTGGCACCTAGTCAACTGGAAT